CAGGAGGGATCCGGCCAACTCCATCAGCCTTGGGGACCTTGTGCCTCCCTGCCTGTTCAAATATGCCACTGCAGTGGTATTGTCGGAGAGAACCTGGACACCTCTCCCCCTTATCTTTTCCTGAAAGGTCGTAAGTGCCTTGAAAACTGCCAACAGCTCCCTGTAATTTGACGACCTGCTGGAGTCCACTGCACCCCACGTGCCCTGGGCGAGGCCGTCTTCCATATGGGCACCCCAACCAGTCATGCTTGCATCCGTGGTGATCCGCACTGGGCTGGCCAGCCTCCAACTTCTTCCCCGTTCCAAAGTGAGAGTGCTTCCCCACCACTTTAGCGACTCCTTCACTTCCTGCGTGATGCGGATCCTGGAATTCAGACCTGCTCGGCTGCCGCCCCCAGTGGGAAAGGGTGTGATTTTGCAGAACCCTGGAGTGAAGTTGCGCCCATTGCACCCCTGGTATTGCCGCTGTCATCCGCCCGATTATTCTCATCGCGGTCCTGACCGTGCAGGTCGACATCCTCCTGAGGGCCTTTGTGTCCTGCCGCAGGTTGAGGGCTTTTTCTGATGTGAGGTATGACCGGGCCTGTGCGGAGTCCAGGACGTACCCCAAGTACGTAATCCTCTTGGAGGGGGTTAGCTGCGACTTCTCCTTGTTGATAAGCCACCCCAAACTTTCCAGAAAAGATATCGTACGTTCGATGTGCGTTCTCAGGCCACCTTCTGTGCCCGCAAATAAAAGCAGGTCGTCCAAATAGGGGATGATGTTTATCCCTTCCAGTCTCAAAACTCTTAAAGGCTCCGCTAGAATCTTGGTGAAGATCCTCGGGGCCGACGACAGGCCGAAGGGGAGTGTGTTGAACTGAAATAGCACCGGACCCATTTCGCCTTCCAGCGCAAACCTCAGGAATCTCCTGGAGTCTTCTCTTATCGGGACATGCAGGTATGCATCTTGCAGATCTATCGAGGCCATGAACACCCCAGGTGAAAGGAGATCCTTCACCGTGTATATGGACTCCATACGGAATTTGCTGGGCCTCACGAACTCGTTCACCTTCCGCAGATTCAATATCATCCTGTAAGCACCTGACGGTTTTTTCCTTAGGAAGAAATGGGAGAAGAATCCACTTCCCCTTTCCTCTTCTCTCAACTGGCAGATAACATTCTGACTGAGCATATCTTGTAGGAGGTCCACCAACGCATCCGCCATGGCCCTGTCCTTTGGCAGGGGTGTTGCAAAGAATCTCTGAGGGGGGGCCCTTGTGAACTCTATTCTGTACCCCCTGTGGATGGCCTCCAGAATGTAGGTGTTCTGGGTTATCCTTAGCCATTGTGCGTGGAAGCGCCCCAGCCTCGCTCCCACCTGGCCTCTCCAGTCACTTCTGCTGGGTTTTGGGTCTATTCTGGCTGGGGTTGAAAAGGAAACCTCCCCTGCCTCTCGGCTCGTTCCTGCCTCTTCTCGCGCCCCAGCCTGGGCGCTGGGTTTGGAACCTAGCTTCCCTTGACGTGTATCGCCTGGATGGGCGAAACCCCTTCCGTCCGACCTGCCTGCTGGGGACCGGGAAGCTCTTTTTCCTGTCTGCCGACCTTTCCAGGACTGAATTCAGCTCCGGGCCGAAAAGGAGTTTTCCTTCAAACGGCAGGCCACAGAGTTTAGACTTGGAGGCCAGATCCCCCTGCCAAGATTTCAGCCAGATAGCCCTCCGCGCCGAGTTTATGAGCGCTGTAGATCTAGCAGAGAGTCTGATGGTCTCTGCTGATGCGTCCGCGATGAAGGCTACCGCTTTCTCCAGCACCGGAAGGGACTTCAGAATCTCCTCCCCCGGGGTGCCTTGTTCCAGATGCGAACGGAGCTGCCCCAACCACACATCCAGGGTTCTGGACACGCAGGTTGTTGCCACTGCAGGCTTAAAATTTACTGCGGATGCTTCCCATGCCCTCTTCAGGAAAGCATCTGCTTTCCGATCCATTGGGTCCTTTAGGGACCCACCGTCTTCAAAGGACAGATCCGTGTCCTTCGAGATCCTCGAGAGAGGGGGCGTCTGGCTTTGGGCAAGTCTCCCAAACCGAGGCATCTTCCTCCTTAAAGGGGAAACGTCTCTTGAGGTTCTTGGGAAGGAAAGCTTTCCTCTCTGGCTCTTCCCCATTCCCTCCTGATCGTGGACCACAGGGCAGGGTGTACTGGGAATGTACGGCTGCTTTTTGCCTGTAGCCCTGCGTACAGTTGGTCGTGGAGAGAGAGGTCCTGCTGTTCCTCCTCCAGATCCAGGGTCTCATAGATCACCTTTAACAGGTCCTCCGTGTCTTCCACCTGAAAAAGGAACCTGTCTGCCTTTGGGCCCTGAGCCTCAATCTCACCCTCCTCCGAGTCTGAGGTGTCCGACTGTTCGGCCTCTTCCCAGTCCCTTACCGGCGCTACCTTGTCCAGCTTCCTCTTTTTCCCCCCTTGGGTGCCAGAAGTGCCCGGTTGGGGCTCATCCTGGGCCGGCCCCGGCCTCTGTTCCCTGAAGCTTTGAAATGTCTTGGACATTTCCTGTGTCATATTTTGTAGGAAATCTTTAAAAAAAGATCCAGACTCCTTCTTGATGAGCTTGTCTATGCACCCCTGGCAGAGCTGCTTCCTCCAGGAGCTCGCCAGCTTCTTCCTACAAGTGGCACACTTCTTTTTCTGCTCACAAGGAGCTTCTTTCTCCCCTCTATCCTCCTCCTGTGGGCCCATCTGGGGACAAGGAGATACATGCGTTCATGCGTCTGTAAAAACAACGCCTCCCCCCCCTGTGCCACTGTGAAAGCTCCAGCCGTGGGCCTGGGGGGGGGAGAGGGGGGGCTGTGTGTGCGTGGGGGGCACCCAATCATCCCGGGAGGGGAGGGGGGGGGGGGGGGGGAGGGGGGGGGGGGGGGGGGGGGGGGGGGAGGGGGGGGGCAAAACAAAAGAGAGTTGCCAAAGGCCCTTACCTTACTGCAGGCCTCCCCCGCTCCTGACAGATCTGCCTCCATGCTGCCGCAGACTCTGCCTCGGTGCGGCGGTTTTTTTTTCAGGGGCTGGTGGGCTCCGCCCCCCCCCTGCGATCCCCCCTCGCCGACCTCCCTCTCACGGCCGCCGGTGGAGAAGCGGCCGTGGCACGGGTTCCTTCCACGGTCCGCCGCCCATTTCCAAGATGGCGGCGGCCGTTCCCTGCTCCTGCGCCGGAAGTGACGACACCCGGCGCCCGGAAGTGACGCGATCGCAGCGTCCAGACCTCCGCAGCCGAGCCTCCTGGCCATGCTGCCGGGATCCCAGGAGCAGGTAAGACTTACCTGAAACCCCGCAGGGAAAGGCACCAATGCCTCGGTCGGCGGAGCGGGCTCTACCCCCCTGGAGAGCCCCGCTGGGACCATCTGGGGCCGACGCCCCCACCCTACAACGGGCATTCCCCGAGTGGAAACTGGCTGAAAGGTCCCCCCCCCCTCACAAGGCCCCTGCCTCGCTTGGAGGAAGGGGGGGCCTCAGCCAGGGACCCTCTGTACTCCGCCAGAGAGCCCAGAAAAAAAACAAAAAACGGGCGTAGCTCCTTCCTGGCCGGAGGAAACACTAAAACTGGGGGCAATGGGAGAGAGGACGCCTATAAAAGGGGAAAAAAGGTGGAGCGGGTGTTTCCTGGGAGGAGCCCTATCTCTCAAGTGAGCTGTCCTAGAAGATGCCAATTGGAACCTCTATGGTGTGGCAGGTGTAAATGGACGTGTACTACACCTGCCGACATCCCATCTGCCAAAAGAGACAGGCGGCGATCTGGTCCCCTTCCCTCAGATTGATGGGAAGTCAGCCGGATGGAAACAGGCAATCCATTTGCATCTGGCTGCCCATAGAGGACAGCGGGCTTGTCAGCTGCTTGCTCAGTGGAGCGATCCCCCACTGACCGGTTTGCCCCGTGTGAAGGGGGACCCAACCCTGAGCTCTAACCATTACATTTAGCAGTAGTAAGAACAGTGAAGGTTTCACTCCCTGCTGCAGCTGGGAGGTCCAATCTGCTGTAACTAAAGTGAGAAAAACAAAAATAAATGCAGCATGCAGTATTTAATGGCCTTCTGTGATAAATACTGCACAAGTTGATAGATATTTTTGGGGCGGGGCTGCACAGGTTAACTGCTCTTTTTGCCTGGGGTGAACAGAAAGCCAATAATCACCCGATCCCTTGCTGTAGCGACAAATGGTGCTCCCCCACAGTCCAGCGGTGGACTGTTCCTGACACCCTCACATCCACAGCAGGTCTGTGGGTGTGACGACATCAAGAACAGTCCACTGCATGGGGTGGCAGGGGTACAGGAGCTGCTAGGAGGATTAAGCAAGTACTTCCTATGGCAGGGGTGGGCAACTGTGGCCCTCCAGCTGTTGAACTACAAGTCCCATCATGCCTCTGCCTTTGGGAGTCATGCTTGTAACTGACAGTTTTGCAATGCCTCATGGGACTTGTAGTTGTACAACAGCTGGAGGGCCACAGTTGCCCACCCCTGTCCTATGGTCTAAAATGCCCCAGACAGCAGTTAACCCTTGCAGTGCAGGTGCAGCCACACTGCATGGGAAGAATTATTTTGCCTGGAGTTTCTTTAAATGCAAAAATTCATGCAGTATTTCAGTGAATTGACTCCTCCCCCCCAGGGGAGATTTCCATCCACTTCCTGTCTGACACTGAAATTTCTCTAAAGTGAAATAAATCCCCTCCAGGATCAGGTATCCCATCAGATTTCTCAGCTTCCTGTTCCAGTGACAAATGTTTGATGTCCCGCAGCTTTCAGTCCCGAGAACCCCGAATCTCCTCAGTGGATGAAAAACAATCCGACATTCAAAAGGAAAAAAAAAAAAAAGTTCTCTAAAAATTCCATTTATTTACACAAATCTAAAAAAACGACATTGTCATGTATTATAGTCTCTGTGCAAAGTGATTGGTTGTGAGCGCCATTTTTCCTGCTGTGGCCATGAGCCAGTCCTATGGCAGGGGAAAGGGGGTCACTGCTCCGCCCCCTGCTCACACATGCTCCGCCCCCTTCTCACAAGCTTTGTACAGCACGGTATAGTGGTCCTGGGTATACAGCATGTAGATGGATGGCGTGGCCCCCTCGGGGAAGATGTGCTGGTTTATGGCGGGGTCCGAGGAGTCCACATACTCCACCTGGAGGGGGATGGTGAGGGCCTGGGTCAGGGCGATGATATGGATGTGGTCACACACGGTGCCCATCGGCTCCACATGCTGAAAAACATGGATTGGTTAAAGGGGCATCCGGCCAGAAAGCATGCAAACAGGATACAAAAACATGAAAAGGCAAAAGCAGAGGAACGGTAGCTCAATTTCCCTGTTTCATCACCTCAGACAAATAAAAACATGGGGGGGGTGGGGTGTTCACCTGCTAGGATTTGTGTCCATCCAGTCCTGAGATTTACACTGCTCTGCCACAGCACAGCCCTGCAGCAGAGGGAAGATGATTGCCTGATGCAGTTCAGTAGCATACAAGTCTTGTCCCTCCCCCAGCCTGTGATTGGACAGAGAAGCAGAAGACAGCGGATCTCATCTCACTCTGCTCTCCTCCTATCAGCATGCTTCTTGCTATCACATGAACCTAAATTGCTTCCTGTGCCGCTTCTTCCTCCCCCAGTCCTTGCCGATACCAGGCCACGTTCTGGTAGTTGCATGGTTTGAAATCATGCTACAAAGGGCCGGGCCTCCCCCATCCTACAAAGGGCCGGGCCTCCCCCATCCTACAAAGGGCCGGGCCTCCCCCATCCTACAAAGGGCCGGGCCTCCCCCATCCTACAAAGGGCCGGGCCTCCCCCATCCTACAAAGGGCCGGGCCTCCCCCATCCTACAAAGGGCCGGGCCTCCCCCATCCTACAAAGGGCCGGGCCTCCCCCATCCTACAAAGGGCCGGGCCTCCCCCATCCTACAAAGGGCCGGGCCTCCCCCATCCTACAAAGGGCCGGGCCTCCCCCATCCTACAAAGGGCCGGGCCTCCCCCATCCTACAAAGGGCCGGGCCTCCCCCATCCTACAAAGGGCCGGGCCTCCCCCATCCTACAAAGGGCCGGGCCTCCCCCATCCTACAAAACGCCAGCCACAGTTTTTAGTTCTAGGTAAAGCAAGGAACGGTCCGAATATCTGTCTAGTATTTATTTAAGTGTCTCCATCAGGGAGATTCCCCTCACTTCCTGTGTGGTCAGGAGAACAGGAAGTGAAAAAAAATTCCTGGAAATTGCATTGCTGGCACCTGACAGACAATGTGAGGGACACCTGTGACACTGATCACATAAAAATTGTTTTCTATTTATATTCATTTTCATGAATTTCAACAGCATTTGTATTTTTATTTTGACATTTAAGGAAAGAAAAATATTTAGACCTAGTTGGGGTCATCACTGGGTCTCTGTGCCATCTATGCAATGCAGACACAGTATGGCTGGTGGGAGGGGTCACCAGGATGCTGTACATAGCTTCCTGAACACATCACCCCGCCTCTGTACCCCTCTCCAGAGGGACATTAGCCACTAGGTGGAGCCGAGGATCACAGGAAATACATCTCAGTATGATACAATGTAACATTTCTGAGAATTGTCCAATTGATGGGATCCTGTTGTAGCAGTTGGAGGTGCAGAATGAAGAGTAGTTTGGATTGATTACGTTACTAATTTTTGTAGCATTTGTAACAGTTTAAAGCTTGATTCAAATTTTTGAAATTGATCCGAATTCATTTTGAATAGCTGTGCTTTGAGATTTGGGGAGAATTCTATTCTCTATGCAGAAAGTAAAAAAAAATTGCAAGATGTTTCAATTTAGATTTGAATTTGGCCAAATTTTCTCTTTCCTCATTTCAGGTTTAAATTACTATTGGAATTCAGAAATTTGGATACATCTGGATCTTTAGGGAAAAAAAAAAAAAAAAAGTCTGAATTTCAATTTGGAACGAACTGCACGTCTAGTAGCGATGATTGCGTTTAATTCCCTCCAATGTTCTCCAAACTGTTACTTTGTATCTTTTCCTACTAATCTTGTATTCTGATACTCAGCCCTGATTGCAGCAGTGGGAGGAGTTATGCAAATATCAGAATGCCTTGATAGGTGTGACAGTCTGGAGTGGGCGTTCCAAGGCAGGCTGTATTTGCATAGGCAACGCCCACAGGTAATACTGAGCCTCCATGACTGACAACTGAAATAAAAGGGGTGGGGCCAGGGGCAGTCAGGCTGTGCAGGAAAGGGCTAGATGCTGGACATCCTTCAGCCAGGAAGTGAGGGAGCTCTGACTTGCTGCAGCTTTTAATTCACATTGTGAGAAGCTAACAGTGTGCAGTGACATCAGCTGCTTCAGTGGAGGGATGGGGAGGAGCCACCCCCCGGCCAGACTGGAGGGGGGGAGGAGCCAGAATACCCAGAGGATGGAGGTCAGATATGAAGGCGGAGCATTTACAGACCTGCATGCAGAAGTCGGCGATGTCAAGCCCCTCCTCCACGAACGGCTGGTAGAACTCGGCTCGGTTCCGGAGGAAGGCGGAGGTCACCAGACGGAGGTAGTAGACGGCGTTGTCGGAGATGCCGGGGTGGTTGAACGCCCTCAGAAGGCCGAGGACAGAACCATCTCTGTCCGCCAGATCCACAAGACTGAGAAACTGCAGAGAGATCAGACATCAGATTGATCCTTTGTGCCTCATTGACTGGATACAAAGCATTTCCCAATCAGATCTACAAATTCCACAAAGCAATGAAGCCGGAGAAGACTTCTCAGGTGAATTCTCTGCAGATCGAAGGTTATCAATTTGATAAAATGAACCTGGATTCCCTGGGAGGCTTCCTCTCTGAGCAGTGAACAGCCAAGTACCACATTATGCCCACTAGGTGGCACTGAGCATCATGAATTCCTTTCCTCAGCACCACCTAGTGGTCATCATGCAGTATTTTCCCAGTTTACACATTTCCAATGAACATTCAGTCTTTGGGGAATTTAGCCCCAGAATATTCAATTTTGCCCCCAATCAGGATTTCACTCCTTTTGCATGGGTGGCTAGGGGGTGGTAAAACAGCCAAGTTGCATTACTTCCCCTGATGAACCACCTATAAGTGGTCATGTGCCGCTCAGGTGTACATTGCATGTAAGTGAATAGGACGGCTTCACAACTGCATTCAAATGCTTGACTATTGTGATTGAGCAAAGCAAGAGCGCCTCATGGAGGTGGCAGGCAGCATTGCCTCTTGGAATGCCTGCAGTCCTTTCACTGCCCTCTGAGAAGCAATCTGCTGCTGATCACTTTTCAGGGACAATGTATGAAAGGAGCCAGTTTATGTAGGCCATTACATAACGGATGGGGCCACTACACCAGTGATGGGGCACCAAGCACCCCCCCCCCCCCCATCATCAGTGATGGGGCCACTATGACCACCACTCCCCCACACTGACATCAGGACATTTTCTCCTCCCACTGGCCTGTCTTGCTCCCATAAAGCCTGAAGGAGAGTAAACTGCCCCTTTGCTTAGGTCTGGAGACCCCGTGCTATAGATCTACCAACCATAATGTAGTGAGGGGCGGAACTGAAGTCTATGGGAGGAGTCTTGTAACATGCTAAAAAAAAAAAAAAAAGTTGTTAAATGTAATAGAGTGCCAATCCCAGCACCCGGAGGGGGAGGGGGTGTAGATTCTTTACAATGACCGAACACCCAGGAGAGGGAAGGATTGGTTTAGCACTGCCTGGAGATTAAGTGAATGCCGATTGGTTACAGTTTACTACTTGCAGTGCTGTGATTGGATGTCAACACAATCTGTCCACTTACGGTGCTGTAGCTGTGTCCGAACACCTGTTCCAGGAATCCAGCCTCCAGGAGCTCATTGCGACTCGCCATCACCTGCTCCCGGAACCTGGAAAGCAGTGCGGACAGTTTACTGATCAACACCCAACTCCAAGCAAAAACTTCCATCAGCCAGTGAATGCCCAACAGGAATGAGATTTATATTATGAAGTGAAAAAATGCTGATCCACAGGAAAAAAATATATATCAAAAAGCAAAGTGAATATTAAAAACATTGAAATTAAAAAAAAAGTAAAGTTCAATCAATAAAGTTTGCGAACCCTCCTTTAGATAAATGAAATATATGCAGCTATCAAATTCCAGTGAGAAAAAAAATCCCCCACCACTTACCTGCTCACCCCCCTCCTCCACCACCACGCACCCTGCTCACCCCCCCCCCCCCCCCCAATGCTCACCTCACGCAGTGTGACTGCACATTATACAATGTTACTGTCTGACTGCACTTTTGGTCCCAATTGGACTCAGATCAGCTTGCTGAAAGAAGACTCCAAAGTGATCTCCCTCCTGATGAGCGTCTGTATTGGCCGCATTCCTCATTAAAATAAAAACAGCGCTTTAAACTTTTATCCATCAATTAAACATAAATATTGTGTTCCGGAGGTGTATTTTGCACCATGTATGGTGAAGATCCAGTGATGCACTGACTAGACACTAGGTGGCAGCATCATCTCAGCAGCAGTCCTGCACATGCTCAAAACAGACACCATACACATGGCAAGGCAAAGCGCGGGTCCACGTGGTAAATGCAATTGCCTGCTATAATGGAGTTCCTGGAGCTATACAGAGTACTATAACAGCTGGCCTGAGGTCATCTGCACACTCCAACGCATTTCATCACTAGTCACATGACTATCAAGGGGATATGATTTATGTCTGTTTTGAGCATGTGCAGGACTCTGGATAATGAAAACGTGCAGCCATCCCAAATTCTCAGTAGCAGAGCCCTGCACATGCTCAAAACAAATCGTATCCCCTTAATAAAGTCACGTGACGAAACGCATCAGTGGGGGGTGCGGACGACATCACGACGTTACCATTCATCGGGACAGCGGTTATAGTACTCTATAGTTCCAGGAACGGCATAGCAGGCAATTGCATTTACTACGTGGGGCCCGCGCCCTGCATGGTGTCTGTTTTGAGTAAATGCAGGACTGTGCTGCTGAGATGATGCTGCCATCTAGTGTCTAATCAGTGCATTACTGGATCATACATGGTGCAATATACACCTCCGGAACACAAGTATTTCTTATGTTTAATTGATGAATAAAAGTTTACGGATAAAGCACTGTGGAGTTTTTTTTTTGTTTTTTTTTTTATTGAGGAAGACGGCTGATTCCAAGACGCTCATCAGGAGGGAGCTTACTTTGGAGTCTTCATTCAGCAAACTGATCTTCTGAGTCCAATTGAGACCAAAAGTGAAGTCAGACGGTAACATTGTACAATGTGCGGTCACACGGAGGGGGCAAGCAGGGGCACCGTGGCAGAGGAGGAGGGCGAGCACAGGGGCACGGCAGCAGAGGAGGGCGAGCACAGGGGCACGGCGGCAGAGGAGGAGGGTGAGCACAGGGGCACGGCAGCAGAGGAGAGTGAGCACAGGGGCACGGCAGCAGAGGAGGAGGGCGAGCACAGGGGCACCGTGGCAGAGGAGGAGGGCGAGCACAGGGGCACCGTGGCAGAGGAGGAGGGCGAGCACAGGGGCACCGTGGCAGAGGAGGAGGGCGAGCACAGGGGCACCGTGGCAGAGGAGGAGGGCGAGCACAGGGGCACCGTGGCAGAGGAGGAGGGCGAGCACAGGGGCACCGTGGCAGAGGAGGAGGGCGAGCACAGGGGCACCGTGGCAGAGGAGGAGGGCGAGCACAGGGGCACCGTGGCAGAGGAGGAGGGCGAGCACAGGGGCACCGTGGCAGAGGAGGAGGGCGAGCACAGGGGCACCGTGGCAGAGGAGGAGGGCGAGCACAGGGGCACCGTGGCAGAGGAGGAGGGCGAGCACAGGGGCACGGCAGCAGAGGAGGAGGGTGAGCACAGGGGCACCGTGGCAGAGGAGGAGGGCGAGCACAGGGGCACGGCAGCAGAGAAGGTTCTCACTGGAATTTGTGACAGATGCATTTTTCATTATCCAACAGGAGGGTTTACAGAAGAACTTCGATTGAACTTGAGTTTTTGAATGATTTGTTTGATTCACACTTCAAAAAACAGATTGTGTGGTCCTTGTGTACACACTTATTTTTTTCAATAATTTATTTAATTTTTCACTTTGATATATAGGAAACATTCCATGTAGCGCAGCATTTTTCTCACTTTATATGATTGTATTATTTCCCTCCCCAGACGGGTTGTGTGCTCCAGCAGCTACAGTATCTATACATCGGTTTGATATTTGTTTTCATTCACCATAGTTAGCGCGTTATTTAGTTTATTTCAGGAATGACAGATTTCCCGTCTGAGAAATTGTTACCAAAAAGAGAAGGAAAATGTCACCAATGATTGTGAATGAGGTCCGGAGCCTGGCTGTGCAGTATGGCAGGAGTGCCCAGATCACCAACCTGGGGGCACAGAACTACCCATAGTAACCCAGCCCCAGTGAAGCTGTAAACTGACACTAAGAAGGGCATTTCATGAATACATCATAAAATAAAACCAATTCCCGGCTTTGGACAGAGAATACATTTTTCCACTTCTCTATTCACCCCCCCCCCCCCTTCCTGTCCAAGGGATATGAAATACTCTTGTCACAGAACCCTGTGACCGGTCACCCCCCCCACACCCCCCCCCCATTGGATGATCCTCCGCTCTCATACTTGCCTTAAAATTTCTGGCCGTTTTCCCAGCAGGGACTCCAGATAAGAGAAGGCCAGACCTCTGTAGAAGCAGCTTCCATCGGCGCGAGTTTTCCGAACGGCGCCGTATGATGACATGAGTTCCTGCGGGAATAAAAACGAGGAACTAAACAGATCAGCACGTCCGGGATCAAGTCAGAGCGCATGAGAAGCAACAAGGATCTACTGTCTGAAATTGGGGGCCCTGGAGAACTAAATGGTGGTTACTGCAATCTAGGTCACAGGGCTTATTTCAGCACTGAATGTATGTAATGGCGGGGGGGGGGGTGCTGGAGAGTCTGCTGCTGGGGAGGGGGGGGGGGGGGGGATCTATTGATGCTGGGAGGGGAGGCCATTGTTGGATGGGGGATCCATTGATGCAAGGAGAGCCCATTTTTTGGGGGGGGATCTATTGATGCTGGGAGGGGAGGCGAAATTAGAAATGTGTTGAGTAAACAGATGCCGATCAACTCAATGGTGTCAGTGGGAGGAATAGCGCCCCCGTCACTGGCGGCAGTGGGAGGAATAGCGCTCCAAGGGCCAGAAAAAGCAAGTAAGGGCCACACCTGGCCCCTGGGCCACAATTTGGAGACCACTGGTTAGGAGTTACACGAGCCATGACCCTGGAATTATTGATCTCACTCCCAGTCACAGCAATTGGTGGAGTTGGTGTGTGGGTGCGTTAGTGTTTTTCTCCACCATCCTCCTTCCACCATGGAGCCAACAAGCCCCCTTGTGATAGGGGTGGACAGGTGACAGGTCCTCTTTATGGCCACAGCAGGTGGTTTATTGGACCCCCGATGTCTCCTCAGCCCTCCAATGCAGCTAACCAATCACAGATCATATTTGATTAGCTGCATCCTCAGCTGTGAACCCGGACGACGTCTACAGACGAGGATTTCACTGATCTGTGGACTAGTTCTGGGCCAATGATGGAGAAACTGGAGCCACCGCTGAGCAGGACAGCCAGGCACTCAGCATTTTCAGAGGT